TTTGCTGCGCCTCGCAGTGGCGCGTCGTCCATCAGCATGTACCATCCCACATAAAGTCCTGGGCTGAAGGCTGAAGATTCGTCGTCTTGGACGGTGCCGAAACCATCGATTTGCGTTGGTCGCCATGTTTTCCAACCCGAAAAATCTTTTCCAGAAGCGACTGCACATTCATCAGCCCGCTCAAATTGGACCTACCCTGAATTAACAAGAACGCCTGATAAGACTGCAAACGGCGGTGGTGGAAGCCTTGGAATATCTAAGCTCGTCCGAAAGAACAGGTCAGCATCGCGTCACATCGAGGACAAAGGCCCTGAACCCAACTGCACCCCCTAATCAAGTCTGGTGTCCAAAGATCGCGCGGCCCACCTTTCTGCCGTAATGGCCAGGGTTGGAAAGTCGGTGCGCACATCCGATCAGGATGGAAGGAAGGACACGATTTCGGAAGCCCTAAAATCCTGATACGGGAACCTAACGCCTAGACTCGGACGAACTCACGCCTCAAACCCTCAAATTTCTGAATCCGGCTTCTGGAATCGGTCCCTGGGCAGCGCCTGCCCACCGCGCTTCAGGCACCAAACGGGCAGAACTCCGGCACTCAGCACCTCGGCTCGAGCGTCTTGACTGTCTCATAATAAGCTTCAGCATGGCCGAGTCCATGAGGGCTGCGATCCTTGTGACATTTCTTACTCTTTAGCCTTTGTTGTGCCACTGCACGCTAGTCCGGTGGTCGGGGAGCGCGCACGTCTGAGTCTCCCGAGGCCCCTAAAAAAAGCTAGGGCTCGCAGTATATTGGATTGTGGGTTCACTGCCGGGAGGCAAAGAAGTAGATGGAGATCATGGACCGCACCTGGAGACTGCGGTGCAGGTGCCCAGCTTGCCTGCCTCACCCTTTTTCCCCCCTAAGACCCGTCCTAGGCTGGAACGCAATTTTGATGGTGGGATTAGGGCGCAGCCCACAGCTGCCTCGTAGCGCATCCTCTTGGTCCATCCCAGGCGGAGTGGGGAAATCCTCAGCTCCGGGTACAAGACCCTTCAGGAAAAGCTCACCACCGCCTCATTTTGAATGTCCTCGCCTTTCCTGGGTCTCAAGCCGAGGCACAGAAGCGCCACATAGGCAGCGAGGGGGTAGACAGGGCGGCCGAGGAGGTCACACCACCTCAAGCACCAGAGAATCCCCCGCCAACGCCAATGGATCCCGCAACGAAGCTTGCCGATTCCAACTCAGGTTGCCGGACACAGGGTTCCCATTGCACAGGTTGCTATTTCGAAGAAGACTCCACAAACCCTGTGTCGGACCCGTCTTCGCCAGGTGGCATGTACATCAACCCAGCGACAGCGCCGTTGAACTTGGCAGATGCCAAAGCCGGAAGGAAGTTTGAGTTTGAAGCGCTCAGGACGAAAAGGTGGTTTCCACACTTGTGCAACTTACTGCAAGCACGACATGTCTTAAAGGCATGTTGTGTTGGATGCAAACAAACGGTCGCCAAAATCCGTGCGTCAGAACACGGCATGCCGAGTGGAACAAGAGCTGGACAAACGACCGCTCAAACGCCTCTACTTTACTTTCAAATCTTTACAGCACGTGTAAACCTCAGCGACATCTCAGCCAAAGCACCACCATCTTCGGGAAGGTGAACTGCGGATCTTGTTCGATTCGCTGAGCGGTTCGAGTCTCGACCTTGCAGGGAGATGGACCTCTGGCCTCTGGCTCCGGCTTCCGCAAAAAGGTCACGGTGCAGTTTAATCGGTGCCCAAGGCACATCACCAGCTGGTTGGGTTGGGACAGATGAATCCGGCTGCTCCTCCTGGGAGGCTTCGACGGCTGGGGTCTTCCAGGCTCTTGACCCGAAGCTCAAATCTCCACATAAAACTACGACGGTCCCTGACATTGACTGAAACATGTCATTGGTTTACTGCGTATGTTGGGGCTTCAAGCCTCTCTACTTCAAGAGAGCAACTTGGAGAGGCCTCCTCGCTGGACTCCGCCATGCCCGCTGCGGTCTCTACTGCGAGGCTGAGCGAGGTCCCGAGAAGAGTATGCCTGGCCTGGGTTGCATCTCGCCTTAACCTCGGTCTGCATGCTGTGACATCCTAAAGATCCTACGTCCTCAGGTGCCCTTCCCTTTGCATTTTTGAAGCAGCCCTGGACACTTGCACGCCCTCGCGATGCCTGTGTCAGAGCCAAGCTGCGGAACAAGAAAAAATGCAGCAGGCCCACCACGCCTTTGAGGCCTTTGAGGCCTTTGGGCCCGGGCGGTATGAGCTGGCCACGGAATGCAAGCCGGAAGCTACATGCAGGAGTTGGGCGGCGGCTTCAAGCCAGAAAGCCTCTGAAGCTTATCTTGAAGCAACAGCGACACAAGGCGCTGGCCACGGCCCAAGAAAGGGAAACTTGCATGGCATGAGATTGGCTGCGATGTCCAGGTCAGCTCTGAGATCCAGACGGAATCTGTTGGCGTGGGCTCTTCCATCTCGCCTTTCTGACTGAGTTTAGGGCATCACAGGCAGCCGGCGCATCCTCTCTTGAACAGGTGAGCAATGCCGCGTGCAAGTGTCATTAACCTGGCACGATCTGGCCTCTGGACAGCATTGCACTCCGCTTCTCCAAGACCCGAAACCCAAACCCTGCTGAAGTGCTCGCCTTCTCGGAAACGCATCGCCCTCAAACGGTGGTAGGCAAAGGCCTCAAACGCAGGGTTGTTGGGGACCGTGCCTGTAAGGCTCGAAAATCCACCAATCATCTTAGGACTCGATTGCGGGGGCCGCCGTGGAAGGGGGGGTGCGGTCATGCTCACGGAGAGAATGATGGTGTCGTCGACTCTATGTATGTCATACAATGAATGTGGAGCTTACCGGCATCAGCCCGATGCCCTTTCATCATGACGCGCATCCCCGACCTGTTCAGCTGACCAGCTCACAGTCTCAACTTCTCCCCTGATAAGCCCTTAACCCAAATCCCTTCAAACTCCGGAATCCGAACATGAGAAGCGCTATAAACATACAACGCCGCCTACTTATGAGGAAGACGCGAATCCAAAATCGCTGAAACCGTGGCTAATCAATACAGTACCCTAACCCGAGACCCAAATCTCGCAAATGCAAAGGAACACATAGTCGCCTTCACTTGGTCCTTCCAGCCGCTGGCCGCAAAAGCTTTGGCGACCGCATCCTGGGAGACCTGCCGGGTGGGGTTTGGGGCCTTTCGGGTTAGGGACGAAGATGCTACAATCCGATAAGACCCTGTAATCCCTGAAAGGACCCTCAGCAAGAAACATGTGGAGCCCTATGATCTATGACAACTATACCAACACCATTGAAACTATGTTGAGAAAAAACGGAGCCAAGCCAACCATAGCAGAGAGGGCAGGCCTTGGCATTGCCGCGGCCCTGCCATATCCTGAACCGTCTCTCAGGAGTAGTGTTTCAGTTATACAGTAAGGGAACTACCGGAGGACACTTACAACTTTTCTCACCTGTTTTGGAGTGCCTACTCCTCTCCTGGCCGAGTATGCTTCGATTCACCTTGTCGACCTTCAACACTGAATCTGAGCCGCCTTGGAATGAAAGCTTATCGCTAAACCCCCAATATCCCCAAATCACGGACTTGGCCCCCGGCCGGCTGTCCTCTGCCTGAAGCTACCCAATAAGTCGTGTGGAGGATCTCTTGCTCGGAGCTTTTGGCTTCCTAGTAGGAAAGGGTCCCTCGTAGCCTAGCGGGACTTGCAGCTGAGCACGTTCGAGTTGCGACCCGTACCAGTCTTGATCTGTCCTGACATGCTTAGAAAACTTCTTCAAAGACATTGGGGCAGGGCTCTCGTATGCCTGGTGTTTCGGCAAACCCTAAACGTTGCAACCCTAAGCCCTAAAATGCTGAATCCCAAATCCTGCACCTCTAAGCCTACCACTTCGACATAGGGCCTCGTAGAAACGACTTCGCAAACCCTGGAACACTAACCCCATAATCCTAAATTCAAGACCCTGAAATGCTCACCTGAACTCCCTGCACCCCTGTGACGCCTCCTGTCGGTTCGCCGGCTTCAGGATCTCCTCCTTCGTGGCCTTCACAACCGACTTTTGACAAACAGGCTTGTCTTTACTGCGGCTGACTTGCCTCTCAATATCCAGCAAGATGTGGGCTCGGAGGCTGAACAGAGGTAACGCAGCTTCCTTTGTGCACGACGGGCTCACATGAATGCATCCCTCCGACGGCTGGATCTTCGGCATCGAAGCTGCCCACAGCCCCTGCCTGCTTGGCCCTCCAGAAGAAAGACTCCTGCTTTGCAGGATGGGGCAACAGAGCTTTCGGAGGGACTGCCACATTTGGCCCCACAATTCAAACCAAAATGCCGCCTCTCAGAGCTCTCTGCGAACAAACCCTCAATTGCTACGGGCAGCTCCTTCTGCAACGTCGCCAGGATCTGCAGCGGGCACAACACGACTTTGAGGGTGAGGTTTGGAACTGTTTCGCTGAGCAACCGTGGCAAGGCTTAAGTCTGCTGCATGTTTGCAACCTGCAGAAATGTCCCGAAGCGTTCTGAATCGATTTTCGTCTGAGGCCCACACCTCATCCACGGCAGCATCCATGGCATTGCTGTTTCAAATACCATGGAACTCCAGCAGCCCCTAAATTCGTTGAAGAGTGTCTGGCTAACAAACTGCTACAAGAAACAAACATATGCACGTTGCTCTTCGCGCTGCACTTCATGCTGGATACGTTTACATGCTCAGCAGCTCAAGCTGGCAACTGGACAGCAGCACGCAAGTCTTCAAAGGTCTGCAATGCACCATGCATCACGTCAGTCTTCTGCTCGATCCGACTCGGTGGTATCCCAATTTCTTGGCCAACCTGCCCCCCCCCCCCGGCTATTGGCGCTCGGCCTTCTTGCAACATTCGGAGAGATATTCGGAAATTCGGGAAGCGATGCCAAGCTAGGACCTCTTACCCCATAACCAAGACACGGATTTCGAGCCGTCGTCTGGTCTCCGCTCGTCTCTACGGTCTATGCCTCATGGTTCTCTTTCGCGCGACTTCCTTGTTCCAGGAGCACACCGTCGGCCTCAGGGTCAAGCACATGGCCTTCCCCAGGTGCACCACGGAGCCCGAATTGCAATGAACTCGATTCGTGGAAAGGGGTGCCCCACGTCATGTCGATGTGTTCCCCTTTTTTGGGTGACGTGCACGCCCAGGCCTCGACATAGACGTGGAACCCGCCCTTCTTGTGCCTGGGCTGCAAGCTCTTATCAGTTCCTGCCACTTTAGATTATCGCAAAGCGAGAGCCAACCGGCAAAGCCTGTGCTGCCAAAGGTCTTCTTGACAGATGCAGACTTCGAATGCTTCTGGTGTTGGCTGGCCCTTTCTTTGGAGCCGCCTTTCCGTGATGCCTTCTTGCTGGGAGGCGAGTTTTCCTTTCAAGGAGCAACTGATGCACTTGCAGGCAATCCCTGGCAAGAAGCTGCACTGGCCGGGCATGGTCTCTGGCCTCTGGCTAACCATCAATGCATATTGAAATGGTACTGTATTGTTTGCGAAGCGTGCTCCTCAAATTCGCGTGCGTCTTCTGTATTTCTGTCTTGTGCGCAAATGCGACAAGACAGCAACTGGACAGGATTTTGCATGAAACCCTAACGCCCCAAAATGGCAAGCCTCAACACCCCCGAAGCCTCGTCAAGCCAAAAAGCGCCCAGGAATCCCTAGTTCCGGCAAGGCAACAAACAAACGCCTGCTAAACACGTGAAGTAGTTCTGCCGTTGCCTCACGTCCCCAAATGCCCCTCAAGCCAAACTGGGCTAATCTCCTCGGTCTCCACGAGGTCTGCGCCGTCTGCACTATCCTCGGAGGAATCCTCCCAGTCTTCCGGAGCTCAAGCTTCGATTCTCGTACCGCAAAGCCCAGCGAAAGCCCCACCCTCAGGAATTTTAACAACCATTCATGACTCAAGTGAAACGTCTTATCTCACGCATCCGCCACAGCCACCTCTGCGCTTACTTAGGTGGGTCAGCACGCGCAAAGGCCCTTCCCAGCAAGCCCCAAGCAAGATCGCAGAGCTTTCCGAGATCTGGAGAGCTCAATCTATTTCTTTCAGCTGCAGACGAAGGCCTCGTCACCGGCCTTGGAGGGCTCCCCGGCCGGCTCTTCGGCACGGTCCTCCGCGGCCGGATGGGGAGAAGTTAGGGGAAGCAAAGGCTCAGTTGAGCCTCGGAAGAGCACACGAAGCCTGAAGTGCCTTGCTTTACTTCAGAGCTATCCGCGACTGAATGGGGGGGTTCTTGAGCAAGTTGGTTTCGCATCACACACACACACACACTCGCACAAGCCAGGATCTTTTGGAAGTCCTCGCCAGGCTCTTTCTGCTCTTTTGGTCTCTGTGAGGATGCTTTCGACTCCCTGTCCTGAAGATTTGCAAGCACTCTGGGTTTCTTTGCCTCCCACATCGCAAGCCATAAGAAGCACCGCAGGTCTTTCGAGGTCTCATAAAATCCCCTTCCCCACCGTTTTGGGCTTTGCGCTCTCGCACTCGGCCCAGTCGGTTCGGCGTTCACACTCGGCCCAGTCGGGTCAGGGTCTGTAGGTTATAAAGGCATGTCCACTCTCTCCAGTGTGTGTTTTTGGGGTGTAGGGTTAGGGCTTGCACTCGGACAAGTCTGGCACGGTAACGACAGGGCTCTCGGGCGTTAGGGGGCTACACTTATGGGTCTCAAGAGTTTGGTTTTCCAAGCTGCCTTCTCCTCAGGATCGAAGGATAGCTACGTAGGGTTCTGGGAATGCGGCAAGGACGAGACAGACATTGGGATTCCCGATGCACAAGGGTCCGAGTGCACAAACGGACTGATGAGATTCCAGCCTGGCTTTGTCTCCACTGCCCTTATTCGTCCTTGAACATCGACTACTGGCCTCAACCTGAAGCCGGAGCTATCCGAGCCTCTTCGGCAGAGGCAGCGTGGCTGGCATTCCTCTTCGCTTCCTCTTTGGCCGACGACAGCTTGGCAGCAGCCACAAGCTCCTCCAGAGAAATGCGGTCCAGACTCGCATGGGCTCTAGGAGGTTCCGCCGGATCCTGCAGTAGCTCTCTGTCGCTTGGCTTCAGCCCTTCCTCACTTTTGGCCTTTTCCTGCTCTGCGTCTGCCTGGCGGAAGCATGCTGGTGCTTCTTGGTTTCTTCGAAGTCGGGAGGCTTGCTCCCTCGCAACCTAGCCCAAGCAGGATATCATCTCTGGATCAAAGGAAAGTCCTGTACGAGCACACCTGCTAACATGTCGCGGGCCATGAGAGCTCAGAAAGCTCAGTTCCCGCTGCCTCGACAGAGCTCGAAGATGCTTCCGCCTGGTGCCTGGGCTATGGCACATGCGCTGAACTTGACGTTGAAACACAAGCCGACGACCCTGGCAGTTATTGCATCGTCATCTTCAACCCTACATGCACGACATCCGAAGAAGCCCAGACAGGCCGCTGCACGAACTCACACATCCAGCCCAACCCTGTACCCAATGCGGCACTCAAAATGACCGGCCGAGCAACTTCTTGGCCGCCGCCGGCTTTGAATGCTTCTGAGGATGGGTAGCTCGCTCTTGTCTATTGCCTCTTCCGGAGGCCTTCTTCTTGGGAAGCATTGTCTCCTCGCAGATTCACACAGCCGATGTGAGGTCGAAAAAATGGATGAACCGATCGGCCCCCAAAACACTACTGAGTCCCTAGTGGGGATCCATCCAACCCGTGACGGTGCAAGTCCATTCGGCTACCATGGCCCAGATGTATGAACACTTCGCCCTGGCAACAGCGGTCAGTCCGCTTGCCCTGCTCAACACAACTCCTGTTGCAGCATCCCGGTGGCCCTCCTAAGACGTATCCAAAGATTATCTGAGAATCCCCGCAGCCTAGACCCTCGAAGCCTGAACTTCCTGTTTTGCTTCCAGCTCAGGCTTCCTAAACCCATAGTCCTAAACCCATAAAACCCAACACACTAAACAAAAGACAAAAGGCCCTAACCGTGCGGCGAAAGGATAAAGTCTTACCAACCTTCCGATGCCCTCGATTTACCTATTTTTCTGAGAGCCACAGCCGCATATATCATCGGAACCCAAAAATTCGAGTCCGGAAGCGCTCATAGAGAAGTGTACCAAGTCCACTACCGAGCTTTAGTCATTCGGCTCTCACGCTCGGACAATGCAGGCGAGGCTTGTGGTCGTAAGTCAGCTCAGCTTTTTGCCTTTTTTTGACAAGGTTTGGGTATGTTTGGGTGTTTTGGGGGCTGTGTTGTCCTTCGGCCCCCTGAAACTCCAACCCCACAGCTGCGGAGCCTCGAGCTCGGACTCCACGAGGTCCTGACAAAGTCTCGGGGATTGCCACACTCAACTACTAGCTCCGTCGTGCGTCGTGCGGAAAGTGTCTGCTCCGCAATAGCATGTTTTGTAATCTCCTGTGTCCGAATATGTCCGCCGTGATATGGACTGGATACTGCTACTGGATGGTTGCGCTGCTCAGGCAAGGCTTGGGTCTCTGCCACTCGCATTCTTAATTAAAAGCCCTGCACAATCCAACGTTCCAGCACACTTGGCACTCACCTGCTCTTGGCGAGCAGCTAAGCGAGATACAATGACTCGGAGATTTACGGGTCATGATAAAACTTCGGTGTAGACTCACAGTCAGGCGGTTGAAGCAGCCTCAGCACGAAGAGTGCCAGCATCTGCGCTGCCGGCCTCGTCACGGAAATCGTGTGGCTCGTCGGCCGGCACCGGTGGGTCCTCGACACGAACCACATGCGACCCTGAGCCATGCGGCACCCTAAAACCCACAGCCTGCCCGTGCTTTTTCTGCTCTTTCTTCCTCTCCGAAGAGGTCGTCGACTCTGTGTCCTGAGGTTATGAAACAAGAAGGCATCGCCCTGGAAGAGCCGCATCAGGTGCCCAAACATTCAATCTTCCAGGCAAGACTGTCAACCTTCGGGGCCACCCTCGCACTCGAAAAAGTCCGAATGTATTACATGGATGGAAGGCAAGAGATTGGGGAGTTTGGGAAAAACAGCTTGGAGAATGCGAGTTTGGTTCCGAATTGGAAAAGGCTCGATTTCGGAGTTGGCAGGTTAGAACCGGAACTCCGTTTGAAAGTCTGAGGTAGCGGTGCGCATCTAGGGTGGAGGACGTTCATGGGTCTACTTGGCGCCCCGCAGGCTCGAGGTTGGAGCTTGAAAGTTTGAAGGATCCGAGATTGAAAGTTCGAAACTTGTACAGGCTGACAGACAGTCTTCGAAAGTTTGAACTTTACATTCTGAGCCCATGAGCTTCACGGCGCGGGGTAACGAGGAGGGTTAGGACGGTTAGGATATGTCATGAACCGCCATCGCCGAATCGCATGATTGGGTGGGTTCAGGACATGGGATCAACCGCCATCGCCTCATGAGGGGGCGGGTTTAAGAACTGCCTGGGACTACCCGGGAAAGCCAAACGAGCGGAGCGGTTTGCACAGTCACGACGAGGCAACGCCACGGCAAAAGAAATGCACATTAGCCGTCATCGTTACATTAAACGAGGGGGCAGATTGCAGACATGCGACCTACTGCATACTGCTACTATCGCCTAATGAGGGATTGAGGTGAGCGGTAATCATCATCGCTTAATGAGGGGGCGCGCGTGCGACGCGTGATCGGAAAAAGGGTGCACATGTCAGGATTAGTTGAATCGCCACGAACCCTCTTACGTGCATGGGCGCCAACTCGGAACTCGGCGGACCGTCGAACTGTCACGTCGCACTCGACGGGCTTGTAAGCTTCAAATGTTCAATCTTCCGAACCCTCGAACTCTCGAACTTTCATGCCGCTCCCTTTTAAAAAAACGAACGCATTTCGACCTGTCGAACTCTCGACCTCAGCGGTGAGCCGCGAGTCCAGTTTGGAGCGAGCCTTGCAAACTCGAAGCTTTCGATTCTCAATTCTTCGAGCTTTCCATATATGAAGCCTCTCAAACTCTCGAACTCGCAAAATCGACAAACTTTCAAACTCCAAACCCTCCTCCAAACCTTCAAACTGTGAGGGCGGCTGGAACTCGGCCGCAGCTAAAGCTTGGAGATTTGAGTCCACAAGCGATAATCGAGCTTGAAATGTGACGCCCGCTGACTTGCGCACAGCAGCATGCCCCAAACCCCAATCTAAGATGGAAGTTTTTCCGTTCCAAACCTTCGAACCTCGAATTCTTGAATCTTCTAGCTGGAACAACCTCGCTCGAGGATCCCGCTTTGGGGCGCCGAGTCACTTCGCCGGCGGATTTTGGCTTGGCTTCCTCGCGGTTGGCCCACTTGGCAGCTGCGACTAGCTCCTGTCCGAAGAAATTTCACGACAGCCCGGCGCAGTCTGAAGCAGTAAACACGGACGTCTTTCCAGAGATCAAGGAGGCCGACTGGTAGCTCGGACCCTACACGTGGACGTCGATCCCTAAGTAGCAGTATCCCAGTTCCAGCAAGATCAAACGCCAACCCTGATTACAAAGCAAGCTGCCCCTGTCCTGCAGCAGCTCTTTGTCACTTTGCTTTATCATGGCCTCGGTACTTGGGCTCTTTTCCTCATCCCCGTCCTCCTGCAAAGACGGTCCAAGTCGCGGGATGTCGTGGGGCAAAACTGCATATGGCATAACGGCATAAGGTTGGAGGTGCAAACCCTGGAACCTTAAAGCCTGCGGCACCAAACTGACAGAGTTCACCGGTCAGTCTCGCAGAGTTCGGAAGAAAGGCCGTTGCACCGGAATGAGAGATTGCAGGCCTGTCGGAAATGGCTCTCCAAAGACGCACCCAAAAACGAAGCGTAAAATTAGGGTACCACGTTCCACCCCCCCCCCCCCAAGAATGCGGAAGGGGTTTGACGTTTGACGAAATACGGCCCGGTACATGACGGATCGCCGGTAACATGGCGAGAGCGCTTCGGGACGGAGCGACAGTTGAGCTTCAACAACGGACGAAGGCAGTGTGGGAGCGACAGCGAAGCGGGGACCTGATGGGCTAAGCCTCTTTGCGTGCCACGGCTGGATGGCGACATCACAATTGAAAGAGGACAGTGCTAGAACTGGACCGCGGGGCCTCCTTCTCCGTCTCCTCGCCCTCCGGCTTGTCGCCGGAGCCCTGCAAATTCTAACGAGAAGTCATGAAGCTCGTGGCATGCCATCAGCAGTAGAGACAGGCGAAGGCCTCGCATTGGAGGGCACATGAAGACTGTTGTTTCATGGCCCGCCTTTGACTCTTGTCGGCTGTCCTTGTCATCTTTGGCCTGCCGGCTTCGTCCCCTCTGATCTGGTTTTATGGCACAGGCTTCCGGCAGCGCGGTGTTAGAGCAGCCCAACCACAGCCATTCTCCCTGCAACCCGCCCGAGTACCAGTCCAAAAAGAAAGCGCGCTTGACGCGTGGCAGCCACCTCCTCTCGGACTTATTGATTCACCCGAAGTTCAACCTCTAAATTACCCTCCCATCAGGCCCAGCTTGAGGCTTATGATTGCTGAAAGGCACCTCGGCACTCTCGGGGTTGAGGGTGTCCGCATTGTCCTCCTCCGCGCCTTCGCTTTCGCGCATCGCCTTTTCCTCCTTCTGGTCTTTGTCCTCCGTCTCCCCTCTATCCTCGCCATCCTCCTTCTCTTCCTTGTCCTCCCTCTCGTCCTTGTCGTCCTTGTCGTCCTTCTCGTCCCTGTCCTTCAGCTCGGCCGAGGCCGAGCTTTTGCGCTCCTGGCGCCGGCTGATGGAGGCTCGCGGAGTCCTACTGAGCCCTCTGCGGCCTTTCGGGTGCATTTCACGCCGTGATCATGGTAACAGGGACATCTACAAACTCCATTAAGGGTTGGGTATTGGAGGTTGCCTACAAGCCCCCAACAAGGACTCATTATTCAATCGGCTCCTTCTCGAGGCTCTGGTCCGCCTCTTCGGACTCCGGCGCTGCCTTGCTGTCCTTCCGGAAAGCACTTGTCCAGCATCCTAAAGGAACTCATGGCTAACTTTTGGGAGTTTAGAGGCATTCTAGTACCCAAGAGCGTGAAAGGCTACCGAAGGTTACCCACTAAGGATAATACATACGTGCGTACGCACGTACATACATGTGTATATATATATATATATGTACACACATACATACATACATACATACATACATACATACATAAATACATAAATACATAAATACATACATACATACATACATACATACATACATATATATATATATATACATATTCTATGTACGTTTATAGATGTAAGTAGTTCCTCTGGAAAGGGTTGAATAAGGTTTCGAGCTGGGCTTAGGAGTCGTTGGGGAACTCTTGGGCTTTGGCTTGTCCTCCTTCAGGCCGTCGTCCGCACTTTCCTTCTCATCGTCCTTCTCAGGCTCCCCTAACACTAAGCTCTTAACCTCTGTGGTTTCTGGACGCCTGGCAAAGGCGGACGCAAGTCTACAGTAGGCCTGCAGTACCAGGCAGCTCAGTGGAATCCTCCGGTGCCTGTTGGCTTCGAAACCTCTTGCAGCAGGTGTCCTCCTTCTGGCTATCATCAGAACTTTCCTCTCCATCATCCTTCTGCGGCTCCTCCTGTGTTCAAGGCCACATGACAAGTCCAACGTGGCAAAAGTTGCAGTCAGCTGCAACAAACGGGCGCTTCGGCAAAGCCATTGCCAAACAAGTTCCACCCAAACTGCACGGAAAAACTGACAACGTTCGCTCTGGCGTAGTCTCTGCCAGTTGTGCAACATTGAGAAAGTCAGCATGCATGTCACGACCCCCCGAAGGTTCAACACTGTTCAGAAACACATTCATGACCTAAGCGCATGATCTGAAATCTACTTTCCAGTGTTCCGCAGTCGATCCAAATCTTAGGAGGCTTGGGTCGTCGCGAAACAAGGATCTCCAACCTCACAGAATTGAGGCTCGTAGTCGGAAGCCTTCTCCGACATCTCCTCCGTGTCTGTCTCCTCCGGCCAGCAAGCGCGAGGAAACCAGCCGCAGACAGTCTCGTCTCCACAGATTCGGGAATTTGCGCTAAAGCCAAGGAAAGACGTACGAGTGTGTGTGTGTGTGTGGGCTATCGGTAGACCAGTTCGAGGGAATTCAGAATAGCGTTCAGCCCCACCCCCGTTGGCACCTGAAGGATTT